TGTAGGAAATATGACACAGACACCAACAACAACTTTTCTGAAACTAAAGGATGTAGCAAGAGTGACTCAGGAGTTTATGATACGGATGGAGAGTGCTGTCAATGGTAGTAAGGATAGTGTTGAGATAGGAGAGCAGATGGTAGTAGAGAATGATGCAGATTCATCTGAAATAGTGCAGAATACTATCATGGAGGTACAGGATGAGTTCTTTGATTTTAATGGAAGACAAGAAGATATATCTGATCAATACAGTTCGTTAGGGAAGAGAGAAACTAAATGGAAGGCATAGGGATTTGATTTTTCTGTTTGCAAATTAAAGATGGATGGGCAGGTAGGAATCTTTAGTTCAAGAAGTTAACTCATTCTGTAAGATCAGTGAGGAATCTTGAGGGTCCATGCCTGTTGAGAATTCCAGCACCAGGCACATGGGGGTCTATCTTAGAGACGATAGCGAAACCTTTATCAAGTACGTGTCAATCTTATGCTTTATCATGGCTGTTGTATCAGCAACAATCATTAACAGATACAATAATGTAGTTGTGGAAACATTTGTTAAGGCCTAGGTTTAAGTGTTCTTGGTTAAATGAATTACCCTATGTGAATTTGTTAGATAGGAAGGAAAATCAGTTAACAGCGCTTCATGAAGCATTGGAGGTGAAACCAGTGAGGGCTAAAAGCTGTTTTTGTTCTAATAAAACATATGAGGGAAAGAGGATGTTTAGGGGAATATCAGATTGTGATGATTATATGATGACTTTGGGTAAGCATGAACATAAGGTTAGTAATGAGAAATATAATGTAACTTTTTATGTTCCAGTTAGTAAGAAGAGAAGAACTTTGATGGTGAAAGATCAGCTTTTGCCTGGTAATGTGACTATTGGGAATTTTAGAGATATTTGGTGGGTTTGTGGTGATAAAGCGTATATATTCTTACCATATGGATGGACAGGATGTTGTTACATGTCGATGTTGAAGCTTCCATATGAGGTTTTAAAATTAAAAGAGGGGTAGCAAGGGGAAAGAGATAAATCTGATTCTGAAAGAGAGAAGTTTCATAGTCTGGAAGCCTACCATTGGAGGATAAGTCTAGGAGAGTAGTGGGGACTTTTTCCATGGTATGGTGTAAAATTTGGGAAGATAACATAGATAATATTACCTATAATTTGAAGGGTTTTGCGAATGAAACGATAAGAGGGTTTAACCTTCTGTCAAGACTCAAAGGAGTATTGATAGATAAATATCCATTTTGATTATCCGATCGTTTTTCAAATGTTTTTCAATATTAGTGTGATTTTAGTATTTTGTTATGAATCAAAGGGGGGGAAATAGAATGTGATTCATTTTATATATCATTTTTATATTCTTAGTTGATATTGATGTTTTAATTTGAATGTGTTGTTTTGCAAAATATACTGTTTGGTCTTTTCTTTTCTTCCAGAAGCATATGGGGGAATATGTAGAGGGGATTCAAATACTCAAACATGGACAATATGAAAGGACAATATGAATGGACTGGAGGAAGTGGAACAAGGAAGGTGTGGAAATGTTCCGATTACATCATCAACGATGCATTGGAAGTCGACACTGCTGAGGAGATGAAGTGTAGTGGACTACATTCCAGTGTCTGCAATGATATATAGACATATTTGCATGTGTAATACATAATTTGTGTCATATTCTTTCTGTATTAATTTTTGTAGAATCATATTTGCTGTTATTGGGTACATGTGGGGATCTCAGATGTTTTTGTTTATTTTGTGGATGCTTAGGGACATGGGGTCTAGGCAGGGATAGATAATCCACAGGAGGGTTCGATGGGTTGACCAGCCTGAATGTGGACATTTTTGATTGTATTTTGTTTGCTGAGGCTTTCATGTGTATTAAATTGCATCATAGTTTCAAATGCATTGATAAAGATTTATGAATTGATCTGGAGTACTTAGGTGGTTGCCTGGGGCAGAGGGGCCGTGAGAGAATTTTACTGTCTTGATTGATGGATGGATATTTGGAAAGAAGGCTGCCAGACAGGTTTTTCGCTCTCACACTCCATAGAGATTTGTTCATATTTCATAGAAATGTATTCACACTCCATAAAGATTTGTTCATATTTCATAGAAATGTATTTACACTCCATAGAAAAATGTGTTTTTGGTTTATTGTTAAAGATACTCAATAAGATAAATTGTTACTTGTCATAATCCTATTCTTTTTGTTTTCGAGACTTAATTTGTCTCGAAGGGGGGAATATGTAGTATCTGAGGAATTTATGACTTTGTTAATGTTTGCAAATGGTAGCTTAGAGAATGTTGATTTGGCCCAGGGAGACATCTGGCGAGCAGTTCTATAGGAGTACCCTAAAGCAGAGGAAGTCTGTTAGGTGACCTCCTGGGATTGGTCTGTAGGGGAAACACCCATATCAGATTACATAGGATATATACTATGGTTTGGGACAAAGGAGGTCAGAATAGCATATTTAGAATTTGGGTTGGCTGTTCTCCGGATGCCTGCAGGTATCTGTAAATTGAAGCTGTAACCCTTTGATATAAATAAACCTTTATGATCAAAGTACAGCGTCAGCGGATTTCCTTGGTCTCACAGCATAATTAGCAAAGTTTTCTCGACACAACAGTTTCAAAAAAGTAAAAGCCGTCAAGTTCGGCAGGTAGCCAAGCAGCAACAAACAGCGTAGCACGGAGACAAGTGACGCGCTCAAAATGGTGCTCTATTGGGTTGAGGTCTGGGGACTGCACAGGCCACTCTCCTTCGACCTCTCTCATCAACAAGCTCACAGGACTGCCGCTGACTGGATATTTTTAGTTTGTCGCACTATTATCAGTAAACTCTAGACACTGTCGTGCGTGAAAAACACAGGAGGGCAGACGTTTCTGAGAAACTGGATCCAGCGGTCTGGCACCGACAATCATACCACGCTCAAAGTTGTTTATGTGACTGCTTTTGCCCATTCTAATGTTCAATCGAACAGTAACTGAATGCCCCAATGCCTGTCTGCCTGCTTTTTCTATTTTTAATACCCTTAAACACAGACTTAGGAATACCTCATTTCAAAATAGGCCATTATCACCATCAATGGTGAATGATAATTCACGTTTCACCAGTGAAATGTCCAAACTGTGTCTGCATGCCAATCATTTAATCTGAAGCAGTTTCATGGGAATATGCATTTAGATCTTCTTCAATTACTGTTTCAGGAGCGAATTAGAGCAGATGGTGTTAACAAACTTTTAGCCTTTCTTGTATTTTGTTTCAATCAAAGCATATATATCCTGCCTAGTGATGCACGCTGTTGAGTTTTGGTCGCATGAGAAAATAAATGTGACTATTCAGCTTCAGCTCCAAAAATCTCACTAGAAAAGAGGAGGTGTTTTTGGTGTAACAGTAAGGTTATAGGCCTACTATGCTATGGTATTATATTAAGTTCTGTTATGTAAAATACTCATTCATCATTATGTGATCTTGTGAGACATTGTTTCAGCTTCAGAAATTATTTTCCAGAAATAAGAATGATACTACAAAACAGGATTTTCCACTCTCTATCTCCAGAAGAACAACTTACTGTACATTACAGGGATATATCTCTTTCCAGTCAAACTAGCTAGAACATATGGTCAATATTTAAATACCACTGTGTCACAAGTGTCAGTGTAATGTGGTGGATTGAAGTCAGGCGCAGGACACAGAACTCAATGAAAACGTACTTTACTAACAAGTAAAGAAACAAATACAAAATAGCTCCACAGGGAGGAGTAAACCCGCTCACCAAACGACACACGAGACGAAATAACAAACACGCACAAAACACAATGGGAGCCACCGGGTTAAATAGGGAAGGAGTAATTACCTGATGGGAAACAGGTGTGAGACAATCAGACAACAACAGGTAGAACATAGAAACATAGAACATAGATCGGCAGCAGCTAGTACTCCGGTGACGACGAAAGCCGAAGCCTGCCCGAGCAAGGAGGAGGGGCAGCCTCGGCAGAATCCGTGACACAGTACCCCCACCCCCCGACGCGCGGCTCTAGCCGGCAGGGATGTAGCTCAGTTGGTAGAGCATGGCGTTTGCAACGCCAGGGTTGTGGGTTCGATTCCCACGGGGGGCCAGTATGAAAAAAATAAAAAATAAAAATGTATGCACTCACTAACTGTAAGTCGCTCTGGATAAGAGCGTCTGCTAAATGACTAAAATGTAAATGTAATAAGCCAAGACCTAGGAAACATTCTTACATAATCTCTATTTTAGCTCGCTTGTTGAGATGAACAAAAATATAGGCACAATTGAATATACATTTTCCCCAAATAATGTTACATATGCATCAATAACTTGAATATCATGGGATAAATTAATGCATATGAGACCCAACAGCAAAAACAAGTCACTCTTTGGATTAAAATGTAAACTATTTACAATAGAAAAATAGGGGCTTTTTGACAGGTCCCACACCTCTCTGGTACAATAATTGTGGATGTACCGTTTCGAAACCTTTACCTACTCAACTATGAATTAGATCAAGAATTGACCATCCCAGCTTTATCAAAGATAGACACATTTTCTCACCTGAACAATTAATACATCACCCACCACCACATTTGAATGTTTAGAAAAATATTTCACTCCTTTCAAATACTGATTAGATTCCATGATTTCATTAATTATATTCAATTTCTCCTTCTGTAATCAAGTATCTTCAACTCAATCATTAATTCACAGATGTATCAATTAATCATATTTAGGATTAAATACCAGCTGGTAATCATAATAATGGAAACTAAAAGTAGTGTTAACAAAACAATGGGTAGAATTCCTGTAATGCACTTTCACTCATGTATCATTTCATTTCAGACCAGCAGAGAGCACCAGTACCTCTGTCTCTATATCTCTTTCCCTCTCCCTAGATTGTTGTTTTATTGACTAAAAAGAAAACATCACCTTTAAACCCACAGTGTACAATATGTTATCAAGCTGATGCGAGGTTGTTTTTCTACGACACTGTACTGGTCTCAACGTATTTCTCAGTGATAGATATTTTCTTCTCTTGCACCACAGCGGTGTGGCTGCTGCTACGGGGTGCAGCTGTGGGCGTGGTGGTGACTGTGCCAGCAGTAGCAGAGGCCTCGTTTGACCCCGCCGTGCCACACAGGGAGCTGGAACTCAACGAGGAAGCACCATTCTGACTTCTCACTTCTATACTATGACCTTTGACCTCTAACCCCTGGCCTCTCTGCATGGTGACCTGGGCAGCCCCTAAGCTTGCACTGCCCCCTGCTGCTGAGGCTGACCCGGACCCACTCTCAACAACAAGCACTTTCCTGGACCCGGACAGGCTTCCCTGTGAGAAGCTTCCTCCTGGCGATAGATGGCCTTTTCCGATCATGGTCTGCCCTGGCCCCTGTAGAACCTGGGCACCCCGTGTAATGGTTTGGCTCGTCTCTGTAATAACGTGACCTCCCCTGGTATTAGCGTGGTCCGCTCCCTGTAAGACCTGGCTTGCACCCATAACAACATGACCATGGCCTTCCCCACTACCACCCGCTCCTACCTGCCTCTCCACTAACATCATGCCCTGAGAACCATGGAGCCCTCCTACATCCACCATCCCCTGACCCATCCCTACACCCACCTGGCTTACCGCCTGCTGGGCACAGACATAACCACCTCCCCCTCTCTGTTCCACCAGCACCAACTGGGGCTGGGGCTCCACCACGTACATGGTGGGGGCAGCGGCGTAGTACATAGGGGGCTGCTGGATGAAGAGGGTCTGGTTGGGCATCACCTTGTTCTCCTGAATGTGAACCTTGCGGATGGTGGCTGATCCTTGGGCCTGAGTAACCAGGCTCTCCTGTAGGGGGGTGGAGGAGGTGGAGGTGATGGATGAGGTGTTCAGGGTGTTGACATTGAGAGCTGTGTCTCTGCTGACCTCTGTGTGGGTGGATGTGGTAGGCCTAGGCCTAGGGGATGACACAGACACGTTGACAGTCTCTGCCTCCATAGCTATCGACCCCTGGCAGATCTTGGCCAGGGTCTTGAACTTGGGCCCCAGGTCGTTGAGGAAGTCCAGATCGTCAACAGTCCCCAGTAGGCTGCAGCAGCCCACAGAGCCTACCGGTGACCCCTGACCTTCGTAGTCGTAGATCAGTAGGTCATCTCTCTGTTGGTCGTTCTGCGCAACATGATTGGCCTTCTGCAAAGGTCATATGATAGGGACAGATACAGTATATTAACACATTTAATCAAAATGGCTACAATAACACTGCCCTCAACTCCTATGTCAAAGTAGTAATCCAAGAAGTTCACTTTCACCGACTCAGTATAATCTCAATACTAATACTAATACTTTTACTGGTCTTCAAACGATCATGATCTAAGATACTCACTGCAGAGTAGTACTCCTCTAGGACTCCCTCGGAGAGAGCGATCCCGTCATAAGCTCCAGCTCCATATCTGGAGAAGTATGAGTGTTCATGTCCAGTCATGGTTACTCCACTCTTGCCGTAGTCCACCTCCACTCTGCCGCTGGGCTGGTGGGAGCCATGGGAATGGTGGTGCTCCCCTGTGATCATTGCCCACGAGGTGAAGCGGTCCCCTAACGTTCCTCCTGCTGATCCTCCTTCCGCCCCCTGCTCCTCCTATGAATCCCCTTTTCCCCCCGTACTTCGCCAAGTCAACAGCTTTGACGGAGCCATGTATCTCCACAGGAATTTGCAGGAGAGGAACTTCCTGTGAGGGGGAATGAGTGGGTCAAATTTCAACTTGGAAATGGAACATGTATGTCCAAAGATCATTCTTATTTACAACCTCTAGAATAGTTTGATGTCATACATTGGCAGTGCCATCATGTATAAAATACCTTGTCTTCTCCTTGTCCCTCGGTGTGATATGGAATCAGGTGTTCTTTAGTGTCAAAAGGGATGGCCTTAAAATCACCTATGGACGCCACTCCTCCACACAGACAGAACAGCAGCAGGAGGGGCACCACTGTAAACACACATTCCAAATTTCAACTAATATTCACAGAACACGAAGCCCAAGACATGTTGCTAGGTGAGAGGCCTTGGGACAAAGGGTTGTTGTAGACAAAACCCATCAATAGCTATGCTTCCATTAACTTGTCCAGTGATTTGTTGTCAACATTTCAATAAAATAGATGTGATAATTGCATGCTATGGTGCGTTTCCATTTAACTATCTTGAGTCAATAAAAACAGCTAGACGTAAAAAACAGCTAGTCACACCTAAAAAATCTACACTCTTAGAAAAAAAGGGGCTATCTAGAACCTAAAATGGTTTATTCGGCTGTCCCCATAGGATAACTCTTTGAAGAACCCTTTTTGGTTCCAGGTAAAACCCTTTTGAGTTCCATGTAGAACCCTTTACACAGAGGGTTCTATAAGCAACCCAAAAGAATTCTACCTGGACCCAAAAATGGTTCTACCTGGAACAAAAAGGGTTAACCTTAATATTGCTGTTAGATTGTAGCTTCCATCAATGTAATTGTCTGCATCACTTCCAATCCCCCATATTTTTTTTGCAAATACATATATATACAGTACCAGTCAACAGTTTGGACACCTCTACTCATTCAAGGGTTTTTCTTTCATTTTACATACAGTGGGGGAAAAAAAGTATTTAGTCAGCCACCAATTGTGCAAGTTCTCCCACTTAAAAAGATGAGAGAGGCCTGTAATTTTCATCATAGGTACACGTCAACTATGACAGACAAAATGAGGAAAAAAAATCCTGAAAATCACATTGTAGGATTTTTAATGAATTTATTTGCAAATTATGGTGGAAAATAAGTATTTGGTCAATAACAAAAGTTTCTCAATACTTTGTTATATACCCTTTGTTGGCAATGACACAGGTCAAACGTTTTCTGTAAGTCTTCACAAGGTTTTCACACACTGTTGCTGGTATTTTGGCCCATTCCTCCATGCAGATCTCCTCTAGAGCAGTGATGTTTTGGGGGCTGTCGCCGGGCAACACAGACTTTCAACTCCCTCCAAAGATTTTCTATGGGGTTGAGATCTGGAGACTGGCTAGGCCACTCCAGGACCTTGAAATGCTTCTTACGAAGCCACTCCTTCGTTGCCCGGGCGGTGTGTTTGGGATCATTGTCATGCTGAAAGACCCAGCCACGTTTCATCTTCAATGCCCTTGCTGATGGAAGGAGGTTTTCACTCAAAATCTCACGATACATGGACCCCATTCATTCTTTCCTTTACACGGATCAGTCGTCCTGGTCCCTTTGCAGAAAAACAGCCCCAAAGCATGATGTTTCCACCCCCATACTTCACAGTAGGTATGGTGTTCTTTGGATGCAACTCAGCATTCTTTGTCCTCCAAACACGACGAGTTGAGTTTTTACCAAAAAGTTATATTTTGGTTTCATCTGACCATATGACATTCTCCCAATCCTCTTCTGGATCATCCAAATGCACTCTAGCAAACTTCAGACGGGCCTGGACATGTACTGGCTTAAGCAGGGGGACACGTCTTGCACTGCAGGATTTGAGTCCCTGGCGGCGTAGTGTGTTACTGATGGTAGGCTTTGTTACTTTGGTCCCAGCTCTCTGCAGGTCATTCACTAGGTCCCCCCGTGTGGTTCTGGGATTTTTGCTCACCGTTCTTGTGATCATTTTGACCCCACGGGGTGAGATCTTGCGTGGAGCCCCAGATCGAGGGAGATTATCAGTGGTCTTGTATGTCTTCCATTTCCTAATAATTGCTCCCACAGTTGATTTCTTCAAACCAAGCTGCTTACCTATTGCAGATTCAGTCTTCCCAGCCTGGTGCAGGTCTACAATTTTGTTTCTGGTGTCCTTTGACAGCTCTTTGGTCTTGGCCATAGTGGAGTTTGGAGTGTGACTGTTTGAGGTTGTGGACAGGTGTCTTTTATACTGATAAACAAGTTCAAACAGGTGCCATTAATACAGGTAACGAGTGGAGGACAGAGGAGCCTCTTAAAGAAGAAGTTACAGGTCTGTGAGAGCCAGAAATCTTGCTTGTTTGTAGGTGACCAAATACTTATTTTCCACCATAATTTGCAAATAAATTCATTAAAAATCCTACAATGTGATTTTCTGGATTTTTTCTCCTCAATGTGTCTGTCATAGTTGACGTGTACCTATGATGAAAATTACAGGCCTCTCTCATTTTTTTAAGTGGGAGAACTTGCACAATTGGTGGCTGACTAAATACTTTTTTTCCCCCACTGTATATGGAATCATGTAGTAACAAAAAAAGTGTTCAACAAATCCAAATATAGTTTATATTTGAGATTCTTCAAATAGCCACCCCTTGCCTTGATGACAGCTTTGCACACTCTTGGCATTCTCTCAACCAGTTTCACCTGGAATGCTTTTCCAACAGTCTTAAAGGAGTTCCCACATATGCTGAGCACTTGTTGGCTGCTTTTCCTTCACTCTGTGGTCCGACTCATCCCAAACCTGGAGGCCAGGTCTTGGTAAAATAGCCCTTACACAGCCTAGAGGTGTGTTGGGTCATTGTCCTGTTGAAAAACAAATGATAGTCCCACTAAGCCCAAACCAGATGGGATGGTGTATCGCTGCAGAATGCTGTGGTAGCCATTGCCATGCTGGTTAAGTGTGCCTTGAGTTCTAAATAAATCACAGACAGTGTCACCAGCAAATCAGACCACACCATAACACCTCCTTCTCCACACTTTACAGTGGGAAATTTGGACTCTTGACCAAATGACAACATTTCCTCCGGTCTAATGTCCATTGCTCGTGTTTCTTGGCCCAAGCAAGTCTCTTCTTCTTATTGGTGTCCTTCAGTAGTGGGTTTTTTTGCAGCAATTCGCCCATGAGGCTGAT